AACAATAAAGATAGACATTTTTAAAAGACCGCTTAATTAGATATATGCAGAAGCACTTTGCAGACTCTGGAAAATGTTATTCATATGCAAATTATCATCATTATTACCATTACAGCAGACAAAAACAGTGTACTTTACGTCTTTATTTTGTTTGTATGCACTCTTTGACTCTTGGGTCCTGAAGAATTTTGAAGAACAGAGTATTACTGCGCTGCTTAGTAAATCGTTCTCTCTCAGCTTCAAACACTTGTAATGGACTCTCCTGATGCCCAGGAAACCTGCAAACTCAGCTCTCCTTGGCCAGGCAGCTCCTTGCTAGGCTCCGCCAGTAGAGGGCGCCAGAGGGGCCTACAAGGCCGGAGACCCCGGTTCTCTGTCTCCCCGCCGCCCTGGCCGTGTTTCTCCGTCCCAGCAGCTCACTCCCGTCCTCCCAACACCCCAGAGCCAGCCTCATACCTTTCCAAAGGCCAGCACCTGTCCGCCTGGGACTTCCTCCTCCGCAGAGGCCTGGATTCCAGCTCTTACCCCTTCCTCCAAACCTCTGAACGTTAGTAATTCCAAACTCTCCCTGTCTTCCCCAGAAATATTGGTATTTGCTTCCTGTAGTTACCACTCCCGTGATCCCTACGTTTCCTCTTCAACTGTTCAGTTAATCTTCATATTAAAGTATTTCCATTAAAATAACTGGTATGACTTCTGTCTCCTGCTTGGACTCTGACTGCCAACTGTGTTTATTATTTCAGTCTTTGGTCATTCCAAGTAAGAAAAATCTGGACAAAACCAACAACAAAACTCACTCTAATAAAAGCAGGTTGAAATTTTCCAGTTTTCTGTACTCCCGATCATTTATTAGGCAACTGGTATTAAAGCATTCTAGCCTTGATGAAGTCAGTTATTCAGATCTACTTGTGGCTTTAATGTGAATAGAATTCCCAACACTTCCCCTCTTTACTCCTCTTTGAAGCCTTTTTTAATAGTGAAATATTTTATACATATACATACATACATGTATAGTTCATTATAAAATAAATATGTAGCCAGCATTAAAATCAGGAAATAAAATCTCTAAAGTACTCCTCCTCCAAACCCCCGCCCTTCCTGCCTGCTAGAGCTGACCACTATCCTAACTTTACGAGAATCACTACTTTGCTCTTTTTTCATAGTTTTCGCAGCCAAAAATGCATCCAGGCCCTGGCCCTGTGCTCAGGTGGTTAGAGCATCGTCCAGATACTCCAGGCTTCTGGGTTCCATTCCGGGTCTGGGAGCACACAGGAAGCAACCACTGAATGCATAAGTAAGTGGAACAGCAAATCAATAAATAAAGTTTTTAAAAAGAATGCATCCATGAATATAATACAGTTGAAGTTTGCCTGTTTTAAATGTTTATATGCAAAACCATACAATATGTATTTGGGGGGTTGGTACTCTATATTTTTCAAGATGCCTCTGCCATTTCATGTCGCCGTGCTTCGCTTCCTTCCTTGTCTGCATGCCCGTGGGCGGGGACCGCGGTTTAAGGAACCATCCCGTTATTTCCAGTGAGGTGCACATCAGCACACACTCTTTAGGCTAAGTACCTAAAAGGGAAATTACCGAATCACAGGGCACACGAATCCTGCTAAGGTCAGACCGGCTTCCAAAGGGGCCGCCCCACTGCGCCCTCCCATCCGCAGCCCGAGGGCCTTCGCCCCGCCCCCCCCGGCCGCGCAT